GGCCTGAGTGGAAGGAGGGGCCTGAGAGGGAGGAGGGGCCTGTGAGGGAGGAGAGGCCTGAGTGGAAGGAGGGGCCTGAGAGGGAAGAGGGGTCTCTGAGGGAGGAGGGGCCTGTGAGGAAAGAGGGGTCTGTGAGGGAAGAGGGGGCCCCCAGTGAAAGGAGGGACCTGAGAGGAGGGAGAGGCCTGAGTGGAAGGAGGGGCCTGAGAGGGAGGAGGGGCCTAGGAGGGAGGAGGGGCCTCAGTGGGAGGAGGGGCCTCAGTGGGAGGAGGGGCCTCAGTGGGAGGAGGGGCCTCAGTGGGAGGAGAGACTTGTGAAGGACAGGCCTGAGTGGAAGAAGGGACAACTCCTTCCCAGATGTTTGGTCTTGGTAGACCAGGGACAGAGACCTCTGTTCACACCCAAAAAGGGGGCAAGATTGGAAGGAAACAGTGGTGGGGGTGGGGCCTGGAGACAGGGAGGGATGCCCAGCCCCAGACCTCCCACGAAAGAAGGGCAGRACTTGTGAGGCAGAAAGGTCCACTGAGTTCTCTCTGGAGAGGAGCCCAAGGTGGCCCAGACCTCCGGTTGGTGTCCTTTCCTCTTTAATGGCTCCTTCTCATTCATTGTCTGGAGCTCCCTTCATCTCTAGGATGCTTACAGGGACCTAAAATATTCTCTCTCTTTCTCTCTCTCACATACACAGAAAGGAAGACCCAAGTAAGCACGTGTGTGTGGGGAGAATTCCAGAGTCTTTCTGGCTGGTGTGTAAGCAATCTGTCAGCCCCACCTTGGGAGGGGCACTATTATTAAGCCTACTTTGAAGAAACTGAGGCCTAAAGAATTAGGCCCTTTCACAGATGCAGTGGACCYCTCCTCCAGGGTGGTATGCCACCCCAGCTGTAGTGGGGGGGCTGTTGGTAGCTCCAACCTTTCTTTGAGAGGTGCTCTTGACTAAGGGGGGGCTTCCTGGCCCTGGGAGACCATGCCAGTGTCCACACCCTGTGGGCAGCTGCTAAGGACTGTTCCACAGATAGAAGACCTAGTGCCCTTGCTGAAAGGCA